AGAAGAATGAGGATAGACAAGTTTACTAGGAGGGCCAAATGTACATTCTAAAGGATTACAAACTGTAGGAGGACATTGTTTAAGCTTATTACAACAATCTGACTGTAGGACATTTAGACTAGTACAAAATGTAGGAACTCATTACTTAGAACTACTAGTAGTTAGGAATATAGAGGGAAATTCTAAAGTATGTAACTAGTTATAATACATACTAATAGACTAAGACCTATTAGACAAGGGTTCAGACTCCTCTACATCTGTATTAGATTCTAGATTACTCTTAGGAAGAAGTCTTAGTAAACCTGATTAGTAAGCTACCTGAGTCTTAGGGTTACAATACTATCTGTGTAATTGTCAACCAGTTCTCTAAGTAAGTCTACACAGTTCCAACCTAAACAGAACTCACTTTCAAAAGTATAGTACACATTTATTAGAATCACATTTTCTAGTTATACAGACTCTCTCAGAAGCTCATTCACAATTGTAGACTATAATTCAAGTCAAAATTCATATAGGACTTGTATGTGCTTCTTAGAATTTAAGGGAACCCCTCTACTATATATTACTTACAGACTAATAGTTAAACTGAGTGAGTCAATCAGGAGATCAAACTCTATCTTTAAATGTTTATTAATTATTAATAGTCAGATTAGTCTGAATAGTTAGCTCTGACAGAATTCATACATAATAACTAGTAACACTTTATAACAGGACAGTCTCTATTCTTTCTCAACTATAGAAGACATTTGTATTAGAGGATAGTTCTTAACCAGAACAGTAGTTCTGAATCTATAACAGACTTTGTAAAACAGATACACAAGACTAGAGAGGACACATAAGCTCTTTTAGAGAAGATAGTATAGGTTATAAAGTAGAACTATAATTAGAAGAGGTCTGTAGCTAAGGATTACCAGTCTAGTAACAAAGTTATACTAGAAGCTACTAATCTGACTATAAATTGTCTAATAAAGAAGTTGGACAACAAGCACTTCAAACCCTTTATTATTAAGAAGAAGGTTAGTACCTCTACCTATAAACTCTAACTTCTAGCAACTTAAAAGTACATACACCTAGTGTTTAACAAGGTTCTATTGTCTCAGTACTACAATCTAAGTTTTCCTTCACAATAAAGACTCCTACCACCTCTACTAGAACTTGTCAGTTTTAAACCAGAATACAAAGTAGAGTATGTAGTAAATGTTAAGCTAGTGTACAGAAAACTTAAGTTCCTTATTTACTAGAAAGGGTACTCAGTTAAAGAACATACTTGAGAACCTACTAAAGAATCTTACTCATACTACTAAAGTAATCTAAGACTTCTATCAACTTTATCCAGGTACTCTACACAAACTCTACCTTGTAGATTTCCAAGCTCTACTGTTCTGACTTATACCTAAACTACTAACTAAGCCTAATGTTTACTAATCAGGACAATTGATTTTAAAGGGGGGGAGGGTAATGTTACAATTCTCTACTCTTACACCTTCAGTTCTATAGGTTCTACACCCTTCTGTACTAGAACTCAGGACTTTTGTCTCTTAGGAGTACTGTTTATAGACTATATATAGGCTGACTCTCCTTATAACTCTTACTACTACCCCTCCTTACTTTATCATTCTGTTCCTTTGTCTACCCCTTCATTCTTTGTTTATTCTATAGTCTCCTACCCTTTATCTATCCTTTCATTCTTTGTACATTTATCTTTAACCTTCCCTTCCTTCATTTCTTTATAGCTCATTATTCTTAGTGGCTCACCATTCTCTAAGTACTCTTGTATAGTTTAGTATATATAGGTATACAAGATCAGACTAGTCTAGTAGTCTTGATCTTATCTACTCTAGGTAGTTCTGTACTCTTAGACTTACTCTATATACTCTACTCTTGTCTTACTCTTACTCTCTGTCTGTTCTACAAGTTCTAACTATGTTATAGTACTTGTATTCTGTATTTCTGTTGTGTAGGATAGTTGTAGTCTGGATCCCCTTACTAAGCCTTCAGGTCCCCTCTACACTGTTACTGACAGAGGATACAAAGCTAACATAGTATCAAATATACTGTTATTACTAAAATGTACAGAGTCTGACAAGGCAATATATTTACATGTAGACTTTATAAGCAAATATAAGGATCTACAATATGTAAAAAATATATGTCTTAGTAGTAAATTCTAATACATTTTTGTGTTCAATTTGGTGATAGTACTGTACACTTTAGGTAGGACTATTATGTACAGTATTAAAGTGTATAGACCTGTGTTAGTAAAATGACACACACATGAGTCAGATAGTACAGAAGCTAGTTAAATGTAGGATATTCTATTTTCCAATTGTACTAATACACTAGCTACTGTTCTTCACACTGTCTATTAGGTTTGTTTCAAGTAGACTCTCTAAACATTACTATAACCTTAGAGGTTACACACATAACTTAGAACATAAATATATAAGAGTTATAGATAGCTACTTAGAATCTTATCTTTGTACTTTACTCCTGTACTTAGGTCAACCTCTCTAATCCTAGGTCTTTGCCTGTTCTGTTCCCTGAGTAAGGCTCTAACCTTACACTTTTTTTCAAACAATGTAAAATTTAAGGATTTTGCTACTCAATCTTATTTGTACTACTAGATTGTCAGCCCTACACTCAGTCAAGATTCTGCTACTCAAGAATGCTTGCCCCCTTATTATACTACTCTCTCAACACTTGTACAACCAAGCTTAGCAACCACTTAGACATTGTCCCTATCCTTAATGTTACTAATACAGAGTAGTACTCTACTACTCAAGAATATACTTTTGCTACACTACTCTGTCAACACACATACAACTATGGTAGAGAAGTACTGTAATAGAATACACAAAGAGATTGTCACTATAAGGCTTATTAGCCACCTAAACATTATTCACATCTTCAAGCATTTAACATTGTCAACAAAGAGTAACACATTCTCCTTACTCTAGAATACATTAAGGGCAGAATACTGTTTGACTATCTTGTAAACCATAGTTAATGACTGTCAGACAAGATACTGTACTACTTTAAGCAGATTATTCTTAGGTCTGTTTCTACTCATATGTCTCCTACTACTTGTTGTATGTTTGAGCCAGCTTTTACTCTATCTGAACACTGTCTAGAAACTAGCTATAGAATCTTACACAATACTAGTCCTCAGATTGTGTAAGAAGAACATTATCTTAGTACTACTACTAATATCTAGAGCTATAGTATAATTTGGATTACACAGATAACTGGCTACCTTCTACTTGATAACAAGAGTATTTAAGCTCTTCTTCTTGTCCTGTCTATCCACCTCCTACAGCCACCAACTAAGGCTGCTAATCTGATTTGTCACATACTTGTTATTAGTATCTACTTTCTGTATAACAATACTAACATACCTGAATACATCTTCCCTAAGACAGCTGATTTGATTTGTTGTATACTCATCTCTAACATTATTATACTGCCTGGTCCTATCATACTAAAGACACCTAATGTAATTTGTTACATACTCATTATTCATGTTGTAAGACATATTACTATACTTAAGATTCTTAGTCACTCATGTCTTAGTTACAAACTCACAATCTGTCTGACTCCTGTTTTGACATAGGCTTGCTAAGTATAGAGAACACACACTTGAAGAATATAGAATACAGACCTAAGAGAACACTGAATTGAACTGAACCAAACTGAATCAAGAACACTAAACTGAGAACACTGAACCAAGAACACAGGAGAACACAGAACCAAGAACACAGGAGAACACCAAACTGAGAACACTAGAGAACACTGAACTAAGAACATAGGAGAACACTAAACTAAGAACACAGGAGAACACTAAACTAAGAACACTGAACTAAGAACACAGGAGAACACTGAACCATGCTGCTCACTGTTTTCTTCCATACTAAGTCCCAATCCAATGTTTCCTTGTCCCTATTTCTGTTGCTCTAACAGGATACTAGTACTTGTCTCAATGTTACTATCTCTCTAGTATACATACAGACCTACTATTACTCTTACACACTCTGTTTTACCTACAAGCCTGCACATTATCCTTCTAGTGTATACACAGACCCTCTGTTACCTCTACACACTCTGTTTTGCCCACACACTAACACATTGTCCTTCCAGCATATACACAGACCTGTTGTGTTCTACATAGTCTGTTTTCACTCACACTGTCACCAGAACTCTCATCACCTCCAACACCCAGCCAGACAATTTTGTCAACCATGTCCAACTGCCAACTTCGCAACCTTACACTTGAGTCAGTGTTGCCTCCTCTACAGTCCAGTTTGTGTAAGAAACTTATTACATCTAGAAAAGGTTGAAAGAGTCAGACTAAGTATTCATTAATGTACTAAAGTCTTTAGTCTTCCCTGTACATCTTTATTAACAAGTCAAAGCCTTCCTAGACTTGTTACTATATACTCATCATCAATAGTCTTACTTGAGCTTGTGTCTGTCTCAGGAATACTGTTGCTACTGTTTCTGTTGAAGGTCCCTGTACATTTTCATTACTAATAAGTCAAAGTCTTACTACACTTGTGACTGTGTGTTCCTTATCAATGTTTCCTATCCTTTTTATTTCTTTCCCTTACCCCTTACCCCTTACCTTACCTTCTCTTTCTTTATGTGTAATCTTTTCCTTCCCTACCCCCCCTTTAATTTCTTTAGAGTAGGGAAGAGTGTAACCTCAGAGGTTACACACATGACTTAGAACATAGATATATAAGGGTTATAGATAGCTACTTAGGATCTTATCTTTGTACTTTGCTCCTGTACTTAGGTCAACCTCTCTAATCCCAGGTCTTTGCCCGTTCTGTTCCCTGAGTGAGGCTCTGGCCTTACAGTTGCAACCTGCAAGCAACCTCTGTTTGTCAGGTCACGCGACCATTAATCGCGCGTTGTGAGAAACTTGCCTAATATAGCCTGCCTTACGCGATCAACGGGCACCGCTCACCTCAAAACGGCACACCGAGCAGCAATAGGAGCCTACGCTCTCCTCCTCCCACCACCTCAACTGGTCGACAGACTGAGGGAAGGATAGCGATAACACTAACTTAACGAATCTTGGACACTTGCTTTCTCTTCATTATGCGTATATCAATAAGTGCTTCGCTCGTGGCGCTTGCCGTGACTGGTGCGCTCGCTCAGCTGCATGTCGGAAAGCCCGAGGGCCGCGTACGCAAGTCGCTCGGCTTTGGGCCTGATATTCCTCATGCCGTGTTCAATACCTCCCCGGAGCAGGCATTCCAGGGACTGTCTAGCCTTGATAAGCCCTTTGAGACTGCAGACGCGTTTGTGAAGCAGCTCCTTCGAAGAGACGGCCAGCCCAACGAAATGAGCGACTACGTGCTACGCGAAGACTCATATACTGATGATAATACTGGCGTTACACATGTGTACTTCCGCCAACGCATAAATGGTCTGGAGGTCTCTGACGGTCATATCAACGTGAACGTCAAGGATGGTGTCGTGATATCTTATGGAGATTCAGTAAGCTGTCTCCATTCTTATCTTAGGTATTGTTGCTAAGGGGCCATAGTTTTACCGCGGAATCGTCCCGGTACCCTATACGAGCCCTGCATTAGAGCAAGGTCTTGCAACTCCTTGGGAGACGAACTGCCATCACCTTGAGTCGGCTATGGACGGAGTCTTCCGAGAAGACCTCCGTACTTTAGGCGGCCAGAGCGGTCAAGTGCGCATGGGTAAACTCAGCGATATGAGTGAGCTTGCGCAGCGCCTCGAGCATTTGTACTCGACGAATTGCGGTGGCGTAGAACTGACAAGTAATCGTGTTGCGACCTTGCTCGCCGATAAACGAGGTGACTCGTGGAATGATCTAGGTTCGGCACGTGACGCTGTGCTCACGTTCATGCTTGCGGCTACCCCCGACGAGAATCTCCAGGAGGACATCTTGGCACGTTATGATCACTACCTCGAGGGCATATCGTCAACGTTTGACACTCATTTTCACTCTGACGGTACTATTCGAACTGTCGAGTCGCTGTCGAACGTACCAGATACTGTGAACGCTGTCAAGGCATATCATGCGTATGCGCAGGTACCAGACGGCGACCGTACGCTTCTCACTCTTGTATGGAAGATCGAAGCTGAGATGGCCGACAATTGGTACGAGGCGGCAGTTTCTGCTTATCGTCCCCACAAGATTGTCTCCGTCGTCGACTGGGCCTCAGATGCTGTGGTCGACCCCGCACACCTTGCACCAATTCCGAAGAAGCCCAAGGACGAAGAGCGTGCGGAGTTTGCAACATATAATGTCTTTTCATGGGGTATCAATGATCCTGAGGTTGGGAACCGGACGCATGAGAAGGAGAGTAGTGACAAACTTGCAAGTCCTCTCGGCTGGCACTCAATTCCGGCAGTGAACGACCCGAAGTCTGTAGGCCGTGGTCACGGAAAGGTTACTATCAACAACTACACTACGACTTGGGGCAATAATGTATTCGCGCATGAGAACTGGGAAGGCCGAAACAACTGGGAGGACAACTACCGCCCTGACACTGGCCTGGATCTAAAGTTTAACTTCACTTATGACCCGAAAGAGAGAGATAGCTCCGAATCGCTTGCCGAGGCTAAGAAATACATCAACGCGACGGTCACGCAGCTCTTCTATACTGTCAACCTCGTTCATGACTTGTTCTACCGATATGGCTTTGACGAGAAGTCTGGTAACTTCCAACAGCATAACTTCGGACGTGGTGGACGCGAGGGTGACGCTGTGATTGCGAATGCGCAGGATGGTAGTGGGTACAACAACGCGAACTTCATGACTCCGCCTGACGGTCAGAATGGTCGTTGCCGCATGTATCTCTGGAATACCGCGCAACCGTACCGCGATGGTGACCTTGAAGCGGGCATCGTTATTCATGAGTTGTGCCATGGTTTGAGCACTCGTCTTACTGGTGGACCAATGAATTCTGGGTGCCTTGGTTGGGGAGAGAGTGGGGGAATGGGTGAGGGCTGGGGTGGTAAGTTTCTGGTACTTTTTGGCTAAGACGTTTCCTTGATTTTCATACTCATTTCTTAGATTTCTTCGCGACCGTCATCAGGAGCACAGCTACATACTCTGACTACACGATGGGTGCATGGGCCGCAAATCGTGCGGGTGGTATTCGTACATACCCCTACTCACTGGTAAGTCGATACCGTAACTTTTTAAATTTCCACAACTGACCGTCCTTCACTCAGAACATGACAATCAACCCAACGACCTACAAGACCGTCGACAAATACTGGGAAGTCCACAGCATCGGCCAAGCATGGGCCCAATTCCTCTGGGTTGTTGCACAGAAGTTCGTTGACAAGTACGGTTTCTCGGACTCGCTCTTCCCGCCTCTCCCGCTTGACAATGGTACGATTCCGGAGGGCGACTTCTACCGCCCTGCAGAGTTCGATGCAATGGGTAGGAAGAAGCCGCTCGTGCCGAAGCACGGGAACTCGCTCATCACTCAGTACGTTTCCTCCTTCCTTTCCTACAATCTACACTTTTCTGCAATCTACACTTTTCTGGATCGGTCTGACAAGCGATGTGATAATGTAGACTCGTCATCAACGGGATGAAGTTACAGAAATGCATGCCAGGTTTCTTGGACGCTCGTGATGCGATCATCCAAGCCGACCAAGTCCTTACCGGTGGTGAGAACTATTGCTTACTCTGGGAGGGCTTCAGTGAACGTGGACTTGGACCGAATGCACGTGTTGATGGGCGTACACCTTGGGGTGGAGGAATCCGAACTAACGTAAATATCCTTTCACCTTCCACTTCGAACAGCGCGAACGCGTATTGATAATTCTCGAATAATTTTTTTAGGACTTCGAAGTCCCGTCAGCATGCAAGGAGGGCGGCGTACCCGATACGCCTGACGATGGCGAAGATGACGAGGAAGAGTTCGTCCTCGTTGACTTTGTCGATTTTGCCCTCAGCCATTAGCTCCCATCACTGAGCTAGCGCATCCATCTAGACTATAACTACATAGATTGGTTTAACTCAGTAACACTAACACAGGCCTATGCTACGCGGTGGCGATATGTTTCATTTTAGTCATTCATTTTTCTATGCTGTCTTGTATAGTATACTGACTGTCTGTCGTTTTTGCTTTGCAATCTACATAACCTATACGAACCTGTCTGAAGTAGAATTTTGAGCTTGAGGCTTTGAGTGGATCCGGCAAGTGTGTACACAGTCGATTAAAAATACGCGAGAGTAGGCGACATGTCCTTCATATATATTTTCATTCCAAAATACATTAACTGAGGTACAGTACAAGTGATACCGCATACCGTCCTTTGAGTCCATCACGAATCCTCTCACGGTTGTGATCAGGACGAAAGAGCGTTCAAGGTCGACGTGAAGGATGGCTTTTCGTTGTAATTATCTGATATTCGAAATGCACAAACAAAAATGAGTAAATGTTATGAGGATTACTACAACGTGGTGAATGGAAGAACGGATAAGAACTCACCGTCGAAAAGCAATGCCGCACCCATACCTGGGAACGTTCCCGGGACCCAGGAATAAACATCAGGGATACCCCACGTCGTCTATATTGAGCCATCGTGAGTACGAACGGGGCAAAAAGATTTAGACGTAGATGAAGAAGAGCAGGCGATAAATGGATAGAAGTGGAGACGTACGATTCCGACGCAGCGCGATACGGCTAGACAGGCGTTCACGACGAACGCGTAGTCCGTTGCTTGTTGTTGGAGGTTCGCTTGACTAGCAGGGACAGTCATCTATACAAATTCACACCCACGGCGTCAGACCAGATATTAATGTCGAAGAAAGAGGGGAAAGAGACCTACCCGAACATCCAACTCCGTAATCGCAACATCCACACCGGCATCCGCAAAGCGCTGCAAATTCGCCTGAAGGTCCTGCGGCACCTCTCCCACGATGAAATGACTCTGGAACCCAACACCATCGATAAGATTGGACGCTTTTAGAGATTGGACGAGGGATAATAAGGCATCTGACTTTGCGTTCTCGCCTTCGGTGTTAAAGTCATTCTAAATAAATACGCAAAGTCAGTCCCAAAATAGCTAACTGCGGGGGTATTGGATTGGATAGTCGGATGCGTATGTGTGGGGAAAGGTGGGGAAGAAGGGATGACACACAATGTATAGTTTAGCCGTTGGGTCAGCTGCACGAGCCGTGGTAAAAGCAGTTTCGATATAACTGCTTCCGAGCTGCGTGAGGAATGGGCTTGCACCAAGAGTCCCATCGTCATTGAACGCCTGTCATGGGACACACGAAATACAAAGGACACATGATGAGCAACGAAGAGGTAAGCAGGTAACTCAGAAGTGGAAGAAAAGACTTACCTCATTGACCACGTCCCATGCGAAAGTCTGTCCTTGGAAATGCTGCATCACTGCGCAGCATAGTTAATAATGGGATAGGATGGAAAAGCGCGGTGATAGTGTTATTTTAGTATGGATGATTTACTCACCAGTAGTGATGTGGTTGTTCATCGCGTTGAGAAGGTCGTTCCCGGTAAGCGTTGATACCCATGCCGGTAGCTGGCTAAAGGTTATTAATCAAAGAACATCAGTTACCGAAGATGGATGAGAGATATTATTAATTCTAGTACGTACTTATGCCAAACAAGCGTGTGTCCACGCAGTCTCATATCGTTGGCAACGGCAAACGAGGCAACTACATCTCCCTGCTGGAAGGTGAACATACCCTGGTTCGGCTCAGTCGCGTCCCTGCAGATCGACATCGCACATTAGACACCACTCAACACACATTTGCGCAAAGTAGAATAGACTGCAGAAGTAGGTGAAATAACAAACCATTTCATCTCATTTTCCGGAGTCGCACCACTATATTGCTCTTGAGCGAACAACGCAAACTTCGGGTCACTCGCGTTTTGTAGATGAGGTGTAGCAAGAGCTGCTCCGAAGTAACGAGCCCCGGCAGCTTGCTTCAGCGTTCCTGCTTGACGTTTCGTTGGCGAAGCAATGCTCAACAGGGAGACACTGAGGATGAGAAAGGTCTTGAAGAACATTTTAGACCGAGAGGATAAGAGAGAGTGAGCCTGAGAGTGCTCACAGAGATCGCCGTCTCTTTCCAGGTCAGTTTATATACGATTGACGACCAAGGTGAAAGGTATCAATCATCCCGATGCAGCGTCATCGGGCGGAGGTATATGCACCACTAAAATGCGGGTGTTGTCACTATAGAAGCGAATAGAAGCAAAATCGGCAATTGCGCAAATAGAACAAGAGAACAAGAGGCAAAAAGCGTACCTTGCATTCGAGAAGCAAATATTGAACGAAAAAGTCCGTTGAGAGTGACCCACGCATTCGGAGCACCATGAGCGAGTTCGTCCATTAGGAGTAACGAGTAGCGATCAGCGGATGTTACACGGACGTAGTCTGTCCATGTGATGGGTGTGATGAACGCCGCCAACAACAGTTGTGGGAGAGCTTTGCTAGATTACGGCGTCTGTTAATTATTTTCCAGAACGACTGTCGTCACGAGGCTGTATACGAAGTCATAGCTTGGCAAACTTGGCCTTCTTGTCACATTAGCGGCTGGCTGCTACGGGCCAGTGCATAGCACTGCTGAGCACGGAGTCGGATAAGTTTAGCTGTGATGAGATGAAAGTGCGGTGAAAGGCAGTCGATCTTTTATTATCTGCTTTTCGTCTATCAATACGTGCCTGCGGAAGATGGGAGGCTAATGAGCATGTTGGATTCGCTGGTCGGATCTTAAAGGCTGAAGGCTGAGAAAGCGGATAGAATATTTACTTCCTTTGATGACGTCAACCTATTTTTACAAAGCGAGCCTCTGAATGTCCACTGAAAACAAAGGTTGAATGTCAGAACGAGTTAACGGCTATTTTATGGAAGTTGTTAAGCACGTACTATATTTGCCCTGTCACGCAATCGCCCGGGCAGATTGCAAGACACAGTGATCTGACCTAATATTGACTGAAAATTTTTAAATTATGAAGCTATCTTGTGTGGGAAGCTCTTGCACGCAGAGGTCCTGTCGTAGTTGATGCTGTCCAAACCGAATTTTGTGTCTTAGGAATAAACCGGGGTTGAAGTAGCGAATTGGATTTGATTCCATTTTCAATATTAAGTGTACAGATTAGTCTGTGTTTTCAACAAGCTCTCCACAGACAATGTACTTGTTGGAGAAGTGCTCAATCCATCCTGAAAAGAACGCTAAGCAAAATATCGTCGAAGAGCTCGAGAGTGAATAACGAACCATTCATATTTTCACTGTCAAGAAGAAGATCAAAATTATTTTCAGTATAAGAACGTGTATCCGACAACACACAGCTTACATTTCAGACGGCGTTAGGTCGTCCAATTTATCCAGAGGTTGATCTAATGGCGTGAGCACCTCTAAAAATAAATTAGAAATATAAGCCAGTTATTGTCCGAAATATGCTTACCCGGGTCAAAGGATTGCTTAGCCATTCCACGAGACGCATCTCTACCAGCAAAATTTCCGTATGGGCCCTCTACAATGACAGTTATGGTCAGATAATTACATTATCACCGTGAACGAGAAACCTGCATACCTGGTCCATAGAAGCTTCGTCCGGCGGTAACATCGAAGACCTTCCGGTTAATAGCAAGCAAGATGCGTTGGTTGTTCTGACCATCAAACGGGGCTAAAGTCTTCGGAGTGTACGTCTTGAACAGCAGTGTCGGAGGGTGCGATTTCGGCATCCATGAATAGTTCTGCTTGAACTCGGTCGGCGTCTCACTAGGCTGCGCTGTTGATGGAAATACGATGCGCTGGGTGTAGTACGCAATGACAAGCAGCAGTACAGTATTGATGGGGGCTCCTAAGTCGATGGCCATGGTGGTCGGTGGTGACGAAGCGTGCTGATGACATTGAGCTGACGAGACGCATTTGTTTGTCCTTGTTGACGCGTTTCGCCAGAAATGTATACCATGGCCAACCTGTCCTTGTACTTGTACATCAACCACAACCATCCCCCCGGCTTGTTACACTTCAATCGCTCGTTACGGCGTCCAAAATGAAGAACAGGAATAAGCAGACAAAGTTCCCGGTGGTACGGTTAATATGTGCAATAGTAAACATGACAAGAGGGGCTTATTATTCACTTGCAACAACAGGCACGAATAAAGAAGATTATGCAGAAGGACGAAGAGGTTGGCAAAGTGGCACAGGCAACACCTGTCGTTATCTGTATGTAATACTTGACATTACCGTTATTTGGGAGACTGAATGCTCTTCGTGACAGCGAAAGCGCTGGAACTGTTCCTAGGTATGCTTGTGGAAGAAGCAGCCAAAGTAACAATGGAACGAAACTCGAAACGTGTCGAGTCATATCACTTGTTGGTCCTTTCATCACCCCAAGTTGTGTATGGTATATTGACGTTGATTCGATAGAAAGCACGCTATCGAGCGAACAGATATGCTAGACTTCCTGAAGGAGATCGTCGTCCGCGTTGACGATCCCTCTGCTGGTGGGACAATCGATATCGAGGCAGAAAAGAACGAAGCAAAAAGACGGCGCTCTCAAGGTGCGCCACGTAAGCGAAGAAAGAAGAGCGCAGCCGGGGGTGCTGCTGCAGGTGAGGATGAGGGTGAAGGTGAGAATGCTGAGAACGCATGGATAATGGAGCCAAACACCGCTGGAACGGGCACAGACGGGGAGGAGGATGGCGGAGACACAGATCGAGATTGGGAGTGAAACGTTCCAGTGAGCTAGTCCTTCCAGCAATTCTGAGAAACGTGTATTCTGACACAGACATAGGAGAGTGATTTATTACGATCTTCTACCTTGTATTATCCATATACCAGATACGAAGACATAATGTAGCATTATTTGTACCCATAATCTCGAATATGTTCTTGTTTTTTGACGGCCTGCGACCACGATCTCTGTGCGTAACTTAGTCTTCGCATATTAACGATTTTCGTACTTTGCAGAACATGATGCTAATCCCCAGGCACGTTACCCGAATTCGCGACACAATTACTATTCCTTGACACCCGAAGAATCCGCCCCACCTGATGTCGCTCATTAGCTAATATCCTCCTACAGTAACTGGACAATATAGCATGTAAGCGGCCACCATCTTGTGTTTTGTGGCAACAACGGATTGATATGTTCATTACAAAGCATTGTGTACGCTCTAACCCTTAGGACGAATAGATGAAGCAGTTCGCTCCTGATCATTTCTGGCTAGTTCGCAAGATTCGATGCTCTCAAAAGACAACGGGCTAAATCGTGATTTTTGCAACTTCCCTTTGGCCAGTCTTCTTTACTTGGTGGTATGCGGTATCATGCAATCTCCTCAACTCCGAATAGTGCTCGTCGAATTGCGCATTGCGCTATCCAAGGAAGCGACAATGGTTGTTTTGCAGAATCGAAGCAAAAAGACGATTCGGTCAAGCATCCTGTTCATCACGCAAATATTTCTGCTTTCAGTAGCAAAATAAACTGTGAGACGATCTATTTCGTTCATTCTATCCAATTGATTGATTACATATATTGGTGTTTACGGTTTAAATCTGATCTAGCGTCAACTCATTACTTTCTGTCTCCATTACCCCCTCCGTTCCTCCTGCGTTTCGTGTCCTGTGTGGGGTTGTCATCGGCCTTTTTCCGTTTGACCACCTGTATCTTGCCCTCAGCGACATCTTTCTTTGCCTTCGCTGCAATTTCCTTCGCAGCCGCGTGTGAGCTCGATACAAACGTGACTTCGTGTCCCGCTGCTGCACATCCCGATTCAACAAGTTTTATCGCAGCATCTGTTGCTTCGGATTCGCTTTTGAAAAAGGCAGTCACTTTTCTTTCCTCTTTCGTCTCTTTCGTTGCCTCTTTTATGACTATTGCGGATACAAACCTTAGCACAACATGCATTCTTCGACAGAAGTAAGCGAGGATCCTTACCCCCAAATCGATGTTCGAATATCCCATGTTTCTCTCTGAGGTGCCAGGCGATATTGAATCCATGTTTTCTTGCGACTGGATCACATATATAACAATCAAAAGGACCGTGAATGTGAGTACGCAATAGACTCACAATATCTCAGCTCTGCAACCTGATCCGAATATTTCCCTGCTGTTTCTAATGGCTTTTTAACATCTTGATGTGTAGTGTGTAAAACTGCGAGAGCCTCCCTAAATGCTGCTTCTTGCTCTTCAGGGTCGTTATCGGCATACACCCAAGCAAAAACTTCTTTGAAATCTTGATCCTTAACATCCGTGTAAACTGTGGGCGTATCGTTAATTTCAAGCACGTGGCCGTGGCTTACAAGTAACTATACCTATGTAATCGGTACCTCCTTGCTTTGCTACTTCTCGCATCTTCAAACCCTTGGGGCCAATGACTACAAAATTGGACAGATCAGATGTGAACAAAGTAGACTGTAATGGCATACATTACATTCTGCAAGCCTCTGCTTGTATGTCTTTTCTTCTGATGGTGCAGACCCCGAATCCTCACGCCTTCGATCGGATCGCGGTGCACTGCTTGAATCACCAGTAGGGTGGACATGTGGTTTCCGATGATCTGTCATTATGGTCTAGAATGCGCTCTGGTAACAGTGGCACGAGGTGGATGATGAGTGAAATCTATTCGAGATATCTAGGCCATTTTATATTTGAGAAGATTGCACGGTCATGCGCGCTATCTCTTTCTTAACTTCGGTCAATTCGGATAGTTTCAAGGTATATCACGGTATAACGCCGGAGTTTTTCGGGTAACATGACAGGCTGCCACACTATTTAGATGTACATTGTATACGTTTGTGGCAACAGCGGGTAACACGGTGGCTTTTACATTGGAATACTTAACAATGTAATGCACATTGAAAGTTACAATGTAAACCTGAAGGAGGAAGTTCACGGACTTTGCAGTCAATGCTAAGACTCGCACAACGAATCAACTCCAAACGCTAGTCTAGTCCGTTTGTTTTACACCCTAACTTTGCGAGAAATTATTTATTTCATTTGTTACGAGGTCGTTGTGGCGACTTTTATGTTTATAATTCAACAGAAGCTTTCGTTTCATCCCACATTATTGAACAAAGTTTGCAATCCTAAACGAATATATAAAGTGAAGGATGGTGCTCTGAGGCCAACACTACATAGTATCTCAACTACAGTACTTCGCAAGTACTTCACAATCTCGCTAAGGACTATAATTTCGATAATTTAACACGATGACAAGTAATCCCAGACAACCGAGGGGTCTTTACAGGAGTCGCTATATTGATATGAGCAATTATGCGCTATTTGTAAGCCACCCACAATAGATGGCTTCCATGTAGCCTTTTTGCTTATACTCCACTTCAAATATGTTATGTTAGGTATCAACTGAACAAGCAGAAGATCAAGACCCTCTGCCAGCCCACAACGATGCAAAACTAATGGTTAACTTCTTGAGATGTGTGTCTTTCTAAGTGTTTCTCAGCAATGGAAACTAACTGTTAGTAAAAGCATGCACCTGGTCAAGGACTCACATGAAAATGGTCACAGACAATCCTGATGCGATGAGAAGCCTTGGTCTAGCGGAAGTCAAACCGTCTTCTGTTGAAAATATTAAGCAGCAAATGAGTTGGCTTGTCGCACATGAACTTAAGGAGTTAAACAGGAGATTCTTCTATTGTAAGTGTACTGTATATTCATCAGTGTCACTCTGCTGACTTATCATATAAGACTCTGGACATGGAACGAGTGATGAACATCATGGGCATCATAAATACTGTACGTTCAGAATAGGATCATAACTATGTTAATTTAATTATTCTTTTCAGCAATCTTTGCTTGGGAGAATGATAGCTCTCATAAAGTTGATGATGCGGTTAGTTACATACAATCAGTGGTTCAAGCAATATCTCTAACCTCATACCCTTTCATTAGACTATCTATAGAAAATTGGTTAGTTCATTTGCCCAGCAAGCATTTATAATTGAACACCCCTGGATCTTACAAAGCAACTTTTAGGTTGAACCTTTGAGAAACGAAAAAACTGTATTGTTTGTATGTAGTTCAATACAGCACTACTGGTATATACTAATATAATCTACTTCTAGGCAATGTTCGATGTATGTAGTAATAATATAAGGTAAAGGATAATACTGAGCATTATTCTTAGAGTTGCAACTCTGGAAGGATCATAGGCAAGTATACTAGTCTCTAAATTTAGCTTACTCCTTGTATTGAAAGAGACAAATGAATATAGATCTGCCATATGAAGTTCACATGGGCGAGGTTTGTTAAATATCTACTTGTTTTCTATTTTATTGACTGTCTCCACAGGTAGATCTACTTGAAGAACCTACAATAGTTTTTCAAAGTGTGGCTCATGTATCTAAAACTCCAGAAGAGCTTCATAACAAAAGAGTTGTATGTTCTTCTCTTAAATTTATTCTTAAAAAAATTTGTTACAGTAAAGCACTTATAGATATTACTTACTGCATGTGAGCATGATCAAGTAGCTGAAGTTGATCATCCTGTGATTCAAGAAGGAATCAGTCAACAGGAACTGCCAGAGCAGTACAGTATGCTTACATGGGTATGCTTGAACTTACACTAAATTAGATTTTATTCTTTGCTAATACACAAAGTATACTAGTTCTTTAATGAAGTTATGAAGAACAAGAAGAGGATAAAGGCAAGGGACCTTATTTATTACATCAGGTAATGCAGTATCTATATTCTTGACTTCTGGGACTAGAATCAACTTGCCATCCACCTCTCTCCCTCATTTCTCAGGGTTTATCTTGATAATGTCAACAGAGATTTAGATCAGAGACCACAACTCAAGTTTAGTTGGCAACCAGTAAGCATCCGAATACTCTACATATATGTTAGGTGCTAACAAGGATGAATGCTAGCCAAACGCAGATAGAGTTGTCATCTCATTCAAATACACAGAAAGGCGATAAATGCAAAACCAGTGATAAAGCAGAGAGAAGATACGTATTATACAAATGAATGATCAATGTAGTGAGCTATTGAGATAGATGAATAAAATAGAACTTTCAGAAGTGATCATTACAATAACAGCAATAAATGATTACTATTAGAAAGTGTTAGCGTACTCACTAGTATTTCTGCTGCCGAATTTGCCCACACCTGTGAGCAAATAGAGGTGCTTAGGATTTAAAGGAATTTATTTATGCGCACAACAGTCCGGCGTTGAGCTCTTGAGCTCCGCATTGCATTCTAAAATGCTTTGCTTCAAACTCAAAGTGAAAGTTCCGGGAACGGAATGGCAAACTACGTGTGGCTTAAAGCTGTACAAGTGTGAAATTAGGCTCCTGTATAGTGATGGATCAAGAAGAGCAGTATAGCTGACGGCTGAGGGTAGCAGTAATAAAGACTAATAGAGGTCTTAATATAATCAGAGAGACTCTATGAGCTTCGTACTAGTAGGCTGGGTTGTGCCACTCAGTACTCAATACATTTATTTATAATCAAGATACTTGAACTGCTAAGACGGATAATCGGGAAAAGTTACTTATAGTTGCTTGCAAGAGTAAGCTACCAATATTGAAGTTGGGGGCTGTCAAATAATCTCAGGTTTACAATAGAAATAAAATGGACGTACTGTCTACTTAACGATGAAATCTGCCCAGTTCAACATACTGTACTTACTGTAAGTATTCCAGATTGTGATCTGCAAAAAATAATGGACTTTGTCCTTGATGCTTTGTGTACATGAGCAACAAAAATCATTCAAAACTCACACATACTTTTGTGTTGCAAATCAGCTGATCTTCTCAGTAACATTGTGGTGAGGTTTGCAAGATCCATAAAGTCTGCTGGACTCAGCTGCAAAGTTGTAACGCTCAACGCATTCAGATCGGCCCAGATAATCCGACAATGTCTCAGTTAGGTATTGTATTACATCTTTATTAGGGTACAGACAATTTAGTGGAAGTGATATTGTACATTACAGAATGTTACTGTTTGGATTCTGATTGGACTAATTTGCATTATTTCTAGTTTCAAGTGGCTCTCAATTTTGGTTACACAATATCTGAGCAAGTAGACTTTGGTTGATTGGGCAAGTTATCTAGGGAGCAATCAGGCTATACAAGGTTTTACTCTGTGCCTTTCTTTTGCAAGATCTCCAAATTGGTTACCCAGCTAGTATTTTAGTTCAACACAGATGTTGACTTATTATACTGAAAACATGTTATAATATGAAAGAAGTGTTAATGGAACCATATAAGTTCCTCTGCAATCTTGTCATAATCCACCAAATATAGCTCTCCTGTCATAGCATATATATTATTGTACTAAATACTCTTTACATGTCGAACGATTCTCCCTCAGACATCTTGGGGTTTTGGGCCTGAATCTCTTCAAGATATCTCTCCCTATAGAATTTGAACGTCTTATTCACCTTATGTTGCAGTTTTCCTCTTGCTTGATAACATGCTTTGGTACTAGATTCACCTGAACCAGTTATGGATTCACCTGTAGGATGCAAATTGGCATCTAGTTTCGCTGCTAATATTTAGTACATGTTAATTCCCTACATATGCAGAATACGGCTCACTAAGAATAACTTCATGTTTCTTAGAGGAACTCTTGCTGTTGTAAAGCCACTGCAGACTGTAGTTCTCCCTAGCAGCGTCTGAATGGATACGTTATTTCACATTCTAACTGCTAGTGTCTGACAATGTATAATGAAACTTACAATATCGAAGTTCTGCAATAGGATCTAGATAGATGTTAATTGTTTATTTATCTTCCAGGAATACAGTACTAACCTTGGACTGTGAGATCATGTTTTCCGCCTGGGAGCTGCATCTTTAGAATCTTGAAAATGTCGTGGAATGCTTCGTCCTTGGTAAATTGGTCTTGTCTGCTAGAGTCCCAGGATAGAATCTCTTTGACACCTTTTGGGCCTTCAACGCTCCTGTAGACTAAAGTAAATAAATGCTGTTAAGACGTAGCCTTCAGCAATGCAAGGGATATATTTACCCATCAAGCTTAAGTCTCCATCTTCTTTAATACTCTCATCGATTTCCACATTGTTAAAATCATTGGGATGCTTCTGTATCACTAAATATAAATCAAGAGGATAGATAATATCAGATGATAGTTTTGCAGATAACAGGTCGAACATTACAATTGCGGCATTCTTTCTGCCAATGTCCATCAGCAGCAGGAGCGGGACTAGCTGATCTGCTGTGTGTGTGGGGGACACGATCATGATGTCTTGTTGGAGTTTCTCTTCCAGAAGTTGCGTGACTTGAACTTGGCATATTTGGTTGTAATATAAGTTGTTGTAATATAAGTTGTAATGTATTTCAGGCTGTCAGATGAGAGAAGTGAGGTGTGCTCGACTCGGAAAGAAGAAGAAATGCTTAGATTAAATAGCTAAGATCTAACGCTGACCAAGCATGCTATATACCTTAAACAATGGTGTTTCGGAAGCACATTGCGACGGTAGTGTGAGGCAAACTTGCGGCTAATTCGGTCGATTGAGCGCTCACAGTGGTCTACCTGTGAAACAAGCCACTGACCGTTTGACACCTATGTTTAGCGTGGGCATCTGCGGAATGCCTTGCGCAATGCGGACTAGACAGCAACCTACAGGAGCATAGCTCAATTCTGACCCGAAGTAGCCGACCCTCTGCTCCTCTTCACTGTGGACACTTGCCAAACGCAGAGCAATGTCATCGATGAACATACAGGGAAATCAGGTGGCGAAGCCCGTGTTGCAATGTCTGTAGCAAAGTGACTCTTGGCGTATGGACATTATAGATTTGCAATATGTGGGATCGAGTCCGTTACTCTGCGCGTTTGCCACGAGAGACGAGGGGAAAGCACGTTGGTATTTCTACATTTGTCAAGGTAGATTGGTGGAAATAGACAAATGCATTGAAGTATAGGCTTTGAGAATTCCGTTATTAATATTCAGATAGATAAGAACACAATACACTAGTCACAGCTTAGCTCGGCAATTTCCGAGAACACTGTTAGGCAATTAGCCTAAGAAAGGACTCGGAATAGCGGCATGTCAGATTTGGATCAAGTTTGAGGTTGCTCCGACGTGCACTTCCAGAGAAAATTTGTTTAAACAGATTTGAAGCTCCGTGTTTTCCGGGAAATTGTGCAAAGGTCAAAAATAAAGTATAGTGGCCCGAGTTGATCAACCCGTCTCATACCGACTTTGCAACTAAATTAAGCGACTCGGATTCTTTATGTTTAAAAAAAAACACATGTAATTTACCTGTTAGAAGAAATAATTCGACTGTGATGGGGACGTGCATGAAAGGCTGAAAGCTAATGAGTATCCCGACACAGGAAACATAACAGTACAAGAACAGGCAAACTCTCGATCTGTAGTTCGCACTCTGGTATACAATATATGAAATTCTATGTTCCGACGGACCGCATTGTTCAATGCACACCATCTGTGCTCATTCTGTCACAAGTATACTAATGTCAACTTCGGGATCCTTAATTTGGATAACGGAAGGAGGTCTGGGACTTGCCCAGCCACGAAAAGGGTGTATCGGGTATATGCAGTTTCAATAATGTGAAACATTTATGAAACATGCATGTATACAGAACAGCGACGTATCCAATTCGTTCAAATTACCAATGGTAGATTAATGAGAAGGCCCCAGAAAATGTGGATTCACACAATTTGAGTAATAATAGCAAAGGAAACCCCCATGCTTTAAGTTGCTTATTGTTTCATATAATCACATTCTTGCTAGTAATATTTGAAATTGTATATATCTGTGATATCGACCTTGCAAATTACAAAGTGCATTATTGCCACAGTGTTCAGATCGCATAATTACTTGACAGTATAAAAAGGTGTGTATAGTACCAACTAATGTTTACTTTAGAACCTACTTCTACTGACTCTCTCCTAGTTATCAACAAATCAGCAAGGTCATTTTAGCAATATATCCAATAGAACAAGACTATGTCAGTGCATAAAGTTCAGAAGGCATCTGAGAGCCAATCATCTTTGAGTAAAAGTGGACAGAGAAAGTCACCAGAAACTCCTACAAAAATAACACATAGAGTATTGCTAGTAAGTAATGTATAATTTCCAGCTTAGCTTAACAGTCTTTAGTCTAATGTTCATAACTCTAGGCAGGAATCAAAGTTGGTAGAAAATTTGATCTGGAGCCTGGGGTACATAGTGTTGATTCTATGAAAGACTTTATAACACAAGGTTAGTTTCTAAGATATATTTATAAGAAAACATACTTATTTATTATTTATAGATTGTGATATAGATATAAGTTGCATAAAAATCCGAGTAGATGAATACTCAGAGGGAACATCAGGCACAGAACATCCTTATGGTCCTCTTAGTAAAAGTTCATTCTTGAATGAGCTCAGAATACTTTCTGCCCCTTCTGAGCAGAATGGAGTTAATAGTTGTTTATTGTATTGTATGTTACATTTATTTACAAAGATCGAGTCTCTAACAATATTATTAAAAGACTTTGGACATGGTGCAAGAGTTAATAAAAATGAGGTACATACAGGTGAATTATTGTCTTTCAGTTAATTAGAAAATCTACTAAAGTAAAATTATAGTAATACAAGCAAATAAAGAAGACAGTGAACATAAAGAGCTTGTTAATAATAAGGTTAGTAAATAGTAAATATTAAAATATAGTGTATTATGTCTAACTTCTGTTACAATTACTAGGAAATATGGGAAAAATTAGTTAGTCAAATCCTTTATTTACTATATAGTATTCTAATTTATTTTTAGATAGAGTATTTTCCATCTAAATCAACTTCAAGACTTCTTGTAAGTTATATTATTCTACACATTTGTTTAATATATAGACTTATAACACAAAATTGTTAGGCAATCTTTGATGTAAGCTTTTTTTCAAATTCTAAAGAAATAATACATTAAAATTTAATAGGCTTGTAATACTGGAAATATAATAGGTAAGAGTATTATTGTTGTTGACAAACCAGAAATTGTAATAATATTCTACTCTTAAGATATGTTATATGAGGTACTATATATAATCTGACTTTCTAACTTATATATTTGAGAATAATGGTTTTAAAGACACATATAGAGAATGATTTACTAGAGATTAAAGAAAATAAAGGGATAAGCCCAGAGAAACACCAAATACTTCAAGATAAAAGAGTGGTAAGCATTCCTGAATTAATCTACATGTACATGTCTTACTAAGTGTTTTGTAGATTCTAATTACTGCAGCAAGCCCTGATGAGAAAGCAAAAGGCTTTAGGCCAAGAACTACTCCAAGAAGAGTATATGGGCATTTAACATATGTAGGTCTAGTCTTTTAAACAGTATACTATAATATTTGAACTAATTAATATGTATTCTAGGCATGGAAAATGGTCATAGGTAATCCTTAATACAACATCATGATAATAAGATTTTCATACACTTATTTAGCACCTATGCTTAAAAAGCAAAAAGTAAAGAAAATCAACATTGAAGACCTTGTTTATCTCCTTAGGTATTATTCATAATCTCTGAGTACACGGATATCCTCTATTAATATTAATATTCGAAAAGCCACCAGATTAAACAACAGGGTAGTCCACAAACGATTCAACTCAAGACAAGTTTCAAACCTGTAGGGATCAAATCAACTGCACCAGTCTCTATTACAATGCTTACTACTAGTCTTATTTTAGGATAACAAGACCTACATTTACTTCAAATTACCGGATCCGGATCCTGAGGAGAGCGGCCCTACACCTCGGCCTGAACCGTCGGCCTCAGGATCAAAGGACCTAGCTCGGAAAGCAAGCACAGCAAGCCTTAAGGAACCGAGTACATCAGGCCTAGCCAAGAAAGGAAGCTCCTCTAGCATTCGTAGTCGCATGCAGCCGAAGAAGCCCAAAAAAGATGGTTCTACTGATGTTACACAGGAGATGCAAGACATGCATCTCCATGATAAACACAAGGAGGAGCGATAGACGAGTTTGAGTTTATTTGAGAAATAATAGAAACATAAAGGGCTTTAGGGATCAGCATCTCAATGAACTGTACTTATTTAGATAGAACAAACGATTTAAATGAAAAAATATAATTTATGCAATCTGTTGCCTTTGGAGTCCTCATAATAACTATCTATCTATATCCTACAAGCTTTAGTCATGAGCAAACTACTTCAAGTTTTCCGTGTTCTGCATCGCGAGCGAAATGGCGTACTTGGCCTCCTATCTCATCTTGTATCAGTAAGAGAGCCAAATACTTCCGGTGAATGATATTGCTTCAAGTCTTGCATTTAAGAAAGTGTTGATAAAGGCGAGATAAAACCATAAAACCATTTCCAGGATGATCTCTAGAGAATCCGAGGCTCACCACTGACTGTGGCAAGGTAAACGTACCACACCTCACACTGACCATCCGTTCGCGTGTCGATTCAGCAGTCATGTTATGGAGCAGAAATTACCTAACTTGAAATATAACATTGTAATTCGTGCTTAAGCATATGTTCGCTACAACTTATGAAGCTTTTGAGAGTTAACAACTAGAGAATATCTAAAAATGATCACTGTTTGTTTTAAATTATATGCCTTTATTTTTTTTTTTTTCGTTAGAAATTTTAACTAATCCGTTTTTCATCTCAACATTTCGGATGCATTCATTAATAATTTATCAATGCCAGTTATTAAATTGCCAATACATTGCGTGCACTACAATTAATTGCATATCATCTTTATTTGCGGAAATCTGAAAGGATTGGGTGTAGGGAAGGATTCAATTGATTTGTGCCAATCCTTAACAGCCTCCAATCTCTGATCGAATGCGAAAGGAAACTTTTTATTTAGACGTTCCTGGAATGCTGCCTTGAGCCGGAGAACTGCATTACTCCTCATCTGGTCTTCTTCAGTCAAGAATTCCGCTCCATTTTCTCTATTACACACTATCATTTAGTTAGACAATACATTTTGAGCAGAGTAAGGGCCGGGGAATTGACAGACTTATAAACCGATGAATGTCTTCCTTTTCAGCAGTTAAATCGCAATACCAATGAAGGTCGAAGCCTTCATTGCGCGCAACTGAACAATTCAGATGAAAGTAATATTGAGCAATCCTTGGGAGTAATGAGAACCGTGTGCTCTTACAGTAGCGAAGCTCTGGTAATTCATCTAGAAGCAATTTCAATACTGATCAGTATCTTGTAATATAAATGACATAACCTTGTGTATAGCATCTGTCAGCAATTACTATAGTCTTCAAGACTTGACGCATCTCTCTAAACATGTCCTCTCTTCCCATATAATTGTCCCGTCCAGTTTGCCATGCAAATATCTCTCGAGTATTCGGACCTTTCTGTATAAATACTATACACAGAAGCTCTGTTAGTAATACAAGAACGTTGACTCATTAAAGACATTAGATACCTATCATCTCAAGGCTACCAGGTTTTCTCTCCTCGTGGTATTGCAAGTTCAAGTGACGGAAAGGTGTTACCATCAGCACTTCAGAAATAGAAGAAATAACACAGGGTTTAGTTAGATTAAGTATTTGGCAAATAATGATGAACATACACCTGCGAAACCTCAGTTCATGCGGCCCAGGCCTTATGGGCTGAGGATGAAGGTCCGCAGGCGGCAGTTGTGGGCTCGGTGGTTCAGAGTGGTGTACCGAAGGAGACCTTGACCTTGGCATTAGGGCTTATCTAGGCTGTTGTAGAGCAGTTATCCAGTGATGAACTGTTATATAGAAGGAGTAAGTATGACTCGGTTCAATACACTTATAGGAGTGGGAACGGCGCTCTCTGTCCAATTCGAAGCAGAGCCACGGGTACTTAACAGACGTACTACCTATGCAACTTCTGACAATAGACCGATATTTGTGTTCGTGAGATGGATCAATGACAGGAAAGGTATTATACGTGACGTAAATATCAGCCCTCCAAAGTGGCAGTAAACCTGCGGCACTCATCGAAGGGACCAGTCGTATCGAATTTGCAATTTCGTACCCAGTGCGAGCACCGAGCGCCGACATGCCTTACACGTCAGATTAAACGTCTTTCAGGGTTGGCTCCTGGCATTCGTCCCTTGTGACTATTCAAACCTCAACGACGGTCAAATCGATCCGGGCTGCAACAGCAAATGATTGGATGTGATATGAATTGAATGGTGAAGTCTGTCGAGCTAACTTTACGGCAGGTATCCGTATTGTCCACCAAATTGTGATATGCGAAATAAGAGTTTTCGCCTTTGACGGCTCATACACTGCAAAAATTGTCCAGGGCTCACGCTCAACTTTGCGTCGCGACTCGACCTGAATTTTTAGGTATGACCAGTGCTCTGAGCAGCGAGATGTCTCCGAAATTCACAAGAGTTTGCCAGACTCACCTATGACGTTTAAGTTTAACGCATCCCGATCAGCCCAGTTCTCCGCACTCCAGTCAGCTGATACCTCAATTGCGTTTTGCGTTCCATCCTCAGTAGAGTACACACAAAGTGGTGGATGTACAGAACAGAGAGAAAGTTATTAGTAAGATTACAATTAGGCCAATTTGCATTCTCTTTATTTTTGAATGACTCCTGTTGTGTCATCAGTTATCAAAATTTGAGCAGGTACAGTATCATCAGGAAAAGTCAGATTCCATATACAGTGAAACCTGTCAATAAGCATACTTGTAGTTTAGCATTTCCTCTCAATAAGCATGAAAAATTTGATCCACCAAGTTGGTAGGCAGGAAAATAGAGGTATATTAAGCATAAAGGGCATTAAGCATTAAGCATTAAGGTGTGAGATTGAGAATATGCTTAATTAAAGGAAATTTCGGGTCATGTGACAGTGCAGATCATGACCCAGAGAGAGCCACTTTTTGTACAGGCCACCTCCATTTTGTAAAATAAATGTATAATGTAATGAAAACCACTATTAAAACTTATTGTTCATCATGTCTGAGGAGCTTGGATGTGTACAGAACCCAGATGGAACACTCAAGGATGCTAGTGAAATTGTTTTCACTTATTCTAGAGAAGCTTCCTCTGTCAATCTCTCAGCTCTGCTTCCAGATATCCATACTTCCACTAGTATTCATCCACAAACAAGTACAGTC